CGGGCGTCTTACTGCAACTCTGATCAGCACAGAGAGCTCTTTGACACTGTTACTCCTGACGGTCATGTGAGCCGCCTCTTTAGCACGACCCAGTCGCTTAGGAAAGAACGAGAAAAGCCTATCGTTTATAATATGCATACGGCAACATTGGTTATAGAAAAAAACTGAGATAACTAGTGGGATGTTCTCGAAGACAGAGACAGCTAAGTATTGTAGAACACAGGAAGGTCAGTAAAGGAAACTAAGTCTCGCAGTTCCGGTGAACAATTTCTTTTCCGTATAGTGTGAGAGGCGGGTCGAGTATGCAGACAAAGGTTACTTTTACAGTATATTTTGAGATACAGAAGGAGAAGGCAGTATGCAGGTTTGCAGCGCCTCCAAAACAGAAGTGCAAACTTCAAAAAACCACGGTCTCTATTTGATGATCATTTTCATGAATAAAGCGTACTTTTACTACATGATCGCCCTGATCGTTTGGTTTATGAATACCCCGAACTTCGTTGCACTCCGAAATAGGAACAACTGCCTGTTCAAGACGAATTTTGCCCCTCCGGAGGTTTGATAGAATTAAGTGCCTTTTATTCATGACTTGAGATGTTATGTTATACTGCTTTTAAGTGAATAGGAATCTTTCGAATGGATAATTTGTTTGAAACATGCTCTGCTTCATGCGCATCCAATGTTTAGTTGTTTATGTGTTAACTGTGCTATTCGTGTACGGTAATTATTGATTTGAGAGATTGTATTACTAGCACCTTGTTGTTTTGCTTGAAGCTTTCTGGCATGGTGAACAGTCAAACAGAATTAGAAGCGAACTTTGTTCTGAAGGTTCCACTTTAATAGACAAATGCACGTAAAGGTCATATGCAAAGCCAGGTATCCTTAGGGAATCAAGAGATCAGCCGAATTCCGAATAAACATTTGTCCGACCATTAGATAATCGTTGCGAATTTGTTATTGGGAACTTCACCTTGGTTTGTAGTTCTTTCATTATATCTTCCACTGTGGAAAAATGCAAATTTCCTCGACGCCTCATGAACTTGTGAACAGTGTCAGACCTGCAATTAGATCCATTATGATAACAAATTCCCTTCGGAAGTGCACCAGGACCACATTTGCTATCCAGCGTTATAATCACAGTGCACTGAACTTTTTCATTCATGAAATGTTTAGTTTTCTCATTTCGTTGGAGAAACTTCACTCATAAACTTTGGAAGCCAACCTGCATCTTCAACTTAATCGCTTTAATTTAATTTCTCTATTCTTATGTAACAGGCACAATGGAAAACCCTATGATTCTTTTCAAGAGCAAATTTGTTTCGCTTTTTGGTCTTCGGGACTGAATGCTGTTTAGGGAACTTAACAGTTAAATATAAGGTTCACAAGTACTACACTGTTTATCAACTGAAATCTAATTGCCAAATTTATTCCATCAGATAAATGAGCTTTGAGAATTTACTGTGTGGGTAAATGTGAACAGAAGCACAATTGATTTCCAAAGATTTCCAAAGAAGGTATAGTGGAAACATATGAAAACGTGCTGTCTGGTGTCAATAATGCCACTGACAGATTTTTGAGCAGCCTCCACTCCACCCAGTGATGAGGACTATAAAAACCCTGGAAAGCATCACTGTGTGTGAAATACAGCGAAAAAATGATGCGAACACTCATTGTGCTGGTTACAATCGCCAGCGTACGTGGCGCGACAGGTACGTTCGTGTAGGCCAACACAAAAATCAGAATAGTGAAAGCCGAAGAACCAACCGGTTGTGGAGACACAAAACCTGTGGCATTAGAAACCTCTAAAGAACTCGTCATGCCCAGTACCGCGGATCCAAAATGTACATGGAACATCACTACACCCACGCGAAGAACGATTCATTTGTCTTGGTCTGCAGGTACTGTGGGGCAGGTAAGGAGATTCTGTTTTGGTACAATCATCCTATAGACACCCGCGGAAAAAGATTGTGTATTACTGGAAGGCCCCGGCATACTAGACGACAAAAAGGAATGGGGCACGGATTCGAAAGAAACAGTTCAGTCGAAAGTATATATTTATGTTGTCCGCAAAGCCACTGATGTTTCCAAACCACGAGAAGCGCTGAAGGAACTTAAATTGCTTTATCAGTTAGGCAAGTGTTTTACAACGTGGTCTACAAATGCATAGCAATACGTTTCTTGAAACTAAAGCACAGTTATTAATGAATTTTCTTTGATTCCGTCATCTGGTTTCAGTAAATGATGCTGATTGCACAACAGATATCAAGTCGCCAACGGATACCCTACAATCTTTCAGTATATCTCAGAAGGATACCATCGCCGCTGGAACAGCCTGTGTTTGGGGGCTCAAATCCACCGAACATAGAAGTGTCGAGTTACGTTTGGAAGTTGCTTCGGTACGTTGCTCTAGAATACATTCTGTTCAATTTTATTACATATTCAAAACTTGTGAAGCATTAGGGAGAGAAACACAATGTATAATGTTCAATGATCGCATCCAGTGCACAGAACGGACAATGAATATTTTTGGAAACACATCCAATGCGTTAATTCCCTGTACATGGAAAACTTTTATCCATCACGGAATGAAAGATAGTCTAGATTGTTCATATGTGTGCTTTAGGTGAACTGTGAGGCCACTGTACCATCAAAGTCCACATAAAATCTCAACCTTAGGCTGTTTTTCTTTCTCTCGGTCAGCCGAACACAAATGCGCAATGCATCAAAGTCTCTTACACAGGCAGTACCGAGCCTGCAACAGAATCAACAATTTGTGGGGAGGAAGGAAAAAATGTGTTCACTGCAGATGCTGGTAAGAATATCACAGTCACCTACGAGGCTCCCAAGGAGGCTACGGACATCGCAATCAGAAACTTCCAGGTTTACTATCAACTTGGTAAGTTACATGGGATACCAAAACAAAGTAATTAAGTTTGCTGAAAACAGTGAAGTTGGTGTGCTGCTAGACTCTGGGTCAATCTGTTTCCTATACTATGTGAGTTACAAATACAAAAGAGTTACACCCTAGCGGATCACATCCTTAATTCCGGACAGTCTACAAATTTCATGTATGAAGTAACTAAATAGGGATATTTCCATTTCTCTTGTTGTCATTGAAAGATCTGCGGTTCAAATTATATGATAGCTGACAAAAGTTGTACGGACGTTTAAAGTACAGCAACCGTTGTAGTGCATTTAATACAGTTTGTTCAATATGAACCAGCGTAAACCCCGTGCATGAATTATTGTTATTCGACAACAATATGTAATCAGATGCAATTTGGAATTTCGTGGGAACCTCAGAATTCGAAAGACATCTGTAAACCACAACTCAGTAATGATCTGCTCGCCGAAAAGTTATAACTATCGTTCGAAAGTGTATGGCTAACAGATGAACCAACTACTACTGTTCTGTTTTCAGTGAACGACAACAGATGTTCCGATGCGCCCAATCCACCGACGGATAAAACCCAATCGTTCAGTGTGGCGAAATCCGTAGACACCATCCCGACTGGTTTGCTATGCTCCTGGAGTCTTCCGACGACTGATGGGAAGAAAATACGTGTGGCGTTGGATGTCGATTCGGTATGAATTTGGCCAAACCTTATTAAGTCTGTTTCATGCTCATGGTAATAATCCTCAGATTACGAGGAACTAAAGGATCAGGGATGTGATGATGTTGATATTTTTTCAAGCATTTTCTTGGTCAATATTTAATACCGGTCACGTGATGTTATAGTTGAGGTTAAGCTGAAGTTTGTTTTGCACGTTATTTCAAACCAGAAAACAAAAACTGTCCATCGTAAAGACCACTATGGGTCGTCAGGCTTCCAGTTGTTGTTTTGCGTAAAATACAAGTAGAGGGGACTTCGAAAATTTCACAAAACTGATCATTTCATCTGGGATTTCAATTTTTTCCAATCGGTTAGAATTTGAAATAATTCAAACGAATGAAACAAAGACCAAGCAAATTCACTCTTGATATTTTGAACAGACTAAAACGGAAAATCAATGTGTGACGGTTGCTGACGCGGACAAAACCAAAGCCTCACTTATCTGTGGTAAAGAACAGGAGAACACTTACGTTTCTTCTGGCAAAGACGTGGTTATCACCTACGGCGAACAAGACACAGGAAAGACTGCGGTGGCAAACTTCGAAATTCATTATCAATTTGGTAAGTTGTCCNCAGAATCCTCATTCTGTATTTGCCATCCATATGTGAATGTGATCTGCTACAACGTTGCATTTATTCCTCTTTATGTAGAATTGTGAAGCGTCTCACGCGGTAATTGGAATTAGTAACTTTGATGATTTCCCCACCTTTGATAATGCTCCTCTGTATTGCTCCTTCTTTGTACCATCTCTCTTCCATTGTAGATGCTGCTGTCAAATCCATGTCGTCCACATTGCTTTTTATTGTATGCCTTTCGATCGGCTT